GCTCTATTCATTTCAATCCAAAAAAAACCGAGACTCCAAACCCAGCCAAAACCGAGCCCAACAAGAACCAAAAGCCAAAACAGAGCTCAATAAGATTAAAACAGTGCCCAAGCATTGATATAAATTCAGGCTTTAACGGAAATTAAAGTTCCAGCCACCTGTAGGTAAAATCGAGTCATCCAAAGCCAAGGAACAACCTGCATGTCTAAATATTCCAAGCATGAAACAATTCCAACAGATATTTAAACAGGGGAGATGCCTCATGAGGAGCTAAACCGAGCCTCATATATGTATAAAAAGTAAAGTGAACTCTCTAGCATTCATTTTAAGTAAGAACAAGTCATAAGATGCCAAAGCTGAAACTCCAACATGCATGAAAGGCCAAATAACCTCTCCAATATCTCATGCTAAATAAAAAAAAATAGATGAAAAGCTTCATAATACATATCCCAACATGCTTACAAGTGGAGCTAAAATTATTTCAAAGCCACATTTCAACCTTCCTGTTCAAAGTAATAGGAATATGCTACGATTTTATCTCAAGCTAATAGGAGAAAATAAGAATACTTATATCATGTTATGCTTGCACCGTCCTAAGCAATTAATCGAATCTCACCCTTGAAACATGCTCACATTTCATCCTTCACATGCTCTTAAAGTGAATACCTCAAAAATATATGAAAGTAAAGTGAACTAGCATGCTGTATCATCCAACAGAGCCAAGTTCAAAGGCTCGGCAGAGAGGAAAAGCGAAAGGAAACAGGGCACCGAATAAAAGGGGGGAAGAAGAGGTACCTCCTTAATGCCAATGTAAAGCACTAGATCACAAGAATTCACCTGAAGGAAATGCTCTCACAGAAATCCCCTTCCTAATCTCCTCACAGCTAAAATTTCAAAAGGAACTATCTTTATAGGCAGAGAAGAGAGGGGAAGAGAAAGATCACCCCTTGAACCCACGACACTCGAATCGGGCCAAAGCAGAAAAAGGGCGTATTCCCTGCTCACAGAAGGCGAAGAAATCGAAACATCTAGGGACCGAGCGGCGAACCTGTGGCAGCGAGGAAAATATCGGGAGGAAGAGAGAGTTTGTCATTAAAGTGTACCAGGGAGTAAACTTCCGAGAGTCAAACTACCAAGAAAAGTAAAAACACAGCTCGGGGAGACTGACACGGCTTCGGGTAGAGAGTTTGTCATTAAAGTGTACCAGGGAGTAAGCTTCCCAGAGTCAAACTACCAAGAAAAGAAAAAACACAGCTCGGGGAGACTGACACGGCTTCGGGAAGGAGGGCGGCGGGCAGAAAAATGTCAGGCAACGACGAACGAGGTCAACTTTCTCTCGCGTGGAGGAGGAGGAGCTCGGTCGGCTCGAGACCGAGAAAGGGAAAGGCCAGACACGCGAACGGGAGAGGGAAGGGAGGCAGAGCTCGGGTGCATGAGTTTAGGGATTTAGGGCTTAAAGAGGAAAGGGAGAATTCGTTTTATATAAATTAATATATATATTAAATCACATGCGATTTACTTGCGCGCGGCGTCATAACAAAATGGTTGTCCTCTCTAGGCAAAATCGATGCTCCAGACGCGCCGGTGCAGTCAGTTTTGTCATCCGGGGTCGCTCGGACGATGTCGTTGACAATCGGGTCAAAAAACGCGTCAAAATTCAAATTCCACAAAATTTCGACCCGCTATCGATCGTCTCAAAAAGTTTATTTGAGTCTTAAACAGGTAACAGTTCAAGCAATGTGAATTGTGGCGATCAGACGTGTCGACTCTCCCAATTGCGGACCGAATTGCGAAGTTTGTGCGCGCGGGAGTGTGAATTGTGCAGAAGGCCACCATAAATCTTAAAAGGTGCTATAGAAATCCCTTTTGAGTTTCCTCATGTTGGTTTCATCATTCTAAGTGCTAGAAGGCGATACCACCCACAAAAGAGTACAGAAGTGTGTTGAATTTCTAAAACGAGACAGGTCCCATTTCTAAGGTTCTAAGATAGTCAAAGGGAGATCCGTAAGGCTAGATCCTAAATCCTAAGAGGAGGACTAGACCTCACCAAAAATGAGGTCAACAAATAGAAGAGTAAGACGAAGGAGGGTCCGTTGACAGGATATCTTGAGGTCTACTTGTCTGACTGAGTGAAGTTGTCCGAGCTAAGCTAGTAAGGTTAAAGCCGACCGAATCACAAGATGGACTAAAGACTACCGGAGGATACAAGAACGAGCCACTCAGCCAGAAATGAGACAAAATGGTATCTAAGCCAACTACCACATGTGAGCCGATCCAAGGGAAGATTTGGTTCTCTAGTATCTTCAAATGTCCCAAGGACGCCCAGAGGCTCCTCATTAAAGATCAAGAATCGATAGCAAGGTCGTATCAAGCAACCAACTCGTATCGACCAAGCTTAGTGGATCAAACTGATCTTGTCGACCTGAAGGCGACTAAGGTCAGTCATCCAAGTCAGGAAGTAGTCGGACAATGGGCTAATTTATGTAAAATAACTGAAATACTCAAGTATGGACCCCTATAAAGAAGGGGAAAAAATTGAATATCATCATATTATACCCTCTCTATAAATAAATGAATCATTTTATAAATAAAACATAATTGATCACGATAGATTACTGTTCATTGTTGTCAACTCCTCTCTCTGTCTCTCTTTCTCTCTCTTTACTTAAGCTCTATTCCTTAGATGTGATTCACAGACAACTCAGGATCCAACACTTTTAGTCAAATTCCATACGTTTGATTTGACTCTGTCTTCTTTAATTCGTTCTGAGAGGTTTTCCTATCATATTGGCACAGAAGTTTTGCCTCTCTTGATAACTTATTTTACTCTTTGTTAAACAATAGTTTTCATTCTGGTCCAATTCCATGTCATGTTTATAACTCAGATTTAGTTATCAGCTACAAATTGCCCAAGTACTTGTGGGGCTAGAGCCAAGGTTCCTTAGGTGTTTGAGCAAAGATTCACTAGCTGTTCCTTAACAGGAGAGGTGCTTGGAAAAGATGGGCATTTATTTTGCATCAAATCTTCAGTTTGATGTTCCTTTTTCACAATTCTATTAATTCTAGATTTTCTTATTATTGTTTTATCCTCTTAGCAATCCAGTTTGTTGATTCAGAATGTCTTTCATGACTCACAATATCTGCATTTCTGCCTATCAACCCACAAATTGGTTTTAATGTGTTGTTGGCATTTGATAATATACATAAATAATGTTTTCTAAGTCTCTTCTATTGATAAAGTGTAGGTATATAGGACACAATTCTTATGTATTTACAGATTTCACAACTAAACTTTTGATATTTACATACAATGCACTTTGATGCTTTAAACCTATATGCATGGAAAGGTGTATTTCACTTGTAAAAAGTGGTAACAGTGCTATTTTTGATGTGATATTAAAGATCTAAGTGCTACGTGTGTAAATATGAAAGCTTAGGTGTGAGATGCATAATGTATGTAAATGCCCCTTAAATGTATTGAATCCTGTATGACGATTTTCTGATCAAATATCTGATACTAGCACCCTAAATAACCGGATGTTATTTCTAAGCAGTCATGTTTTCTATGAAAGTTCTTCATTTTTTGTTTATTTAATGTTTGGAGTACTAATGACACTTCTCTAGTAGCTCTATTTCAGGGTTGCTGGGAGCAGGGCTTGCTGGACTACTACTTTTTGGAGGACTTACATTTGCAACATTGTCCCTCCGTAGCAAAAACAGCAGAAATATTTCTGGTATGGATAATATTTTTGGCAATTTAGGAAACTAAAGCTGATATGGGGAATATTTTTAATGTCACACTGCTAACTTTTTGCTTAAATAGCTTTTTGTTCTTTGATTTAGGAATCGAACAACAGATGAAACCCTTAACAACTGAACAAGAGGTTCTGTTGACTTCCGATGATACAAATGCAGAAATCATTCAGGATGGAAATGAGACTAATCCTAAACCCTATGACACAGTGAACAAGATAAATGACGATAATCCAGATTCTGTGACAGGTATAAACAAGGACCCTTTTCCTCCACTTGAAGTATTCGATGTTACTGAGGATAAGCGTGATATTATTTCGGCTGAAATCATTGATTCGATTGATGATGGAAGCGGGTCTGTGGATAGCTTTCACCATGCTTCAACTGAAGATGACTGCCAAATTGAAAATGATGTTAATGAAGTTTCTATTCCTCCAGATTCTAATTCCTTCCCCCTCCAAAATAATGAGAAAGCTCAAATTTTTGGTAATATTGACACATTATCTATAAACACTTTCACGGTGGATTATGAAGAAAATGTCGTGTCCAATGACCAGACAAATATTTTGAATGAATACGAAGAATCCTCGAGTGAACCATTGAGTTTAAGTAAAGGTGTTGGAACCGAGCGAGTTGAATATTCTTCAATTAATACTATTTCATCTGGCATTAGTTCCGGTTCAGATTTTGATCAAAATGAAGCCTTAACTTTGCCTGCCGAATCACTCAATATTGAAGAAGCGTTTAAATTAGAGGAAACTAGTTCAGTAGCATTTTCTGTTCCAGTATATGCTAATGACACTGGAAATGAACCTAATAGTAGCATCTATTATCAAAGTAACAGAGACTCTACATTTGAGTCACTATTTGCTCAGAAAGCATTCCCTTTTACTGGCGTGCCTGCTCCATCCCTCGTCTCTTCAGTATTGCAGGTGCCTCTAGGAAAGGTTCTTGTTCCTGCAATAGTTGATCAGGTTCAGAGTCAGGCTTTCCAAGCTTTGCAAGTTCTGAAGGTACCTTAATGAATTGCAGATGGGCTTTATTTTTTTCTGAGCTTTATTTCAAGCTGTTGCTTCAGTGGCATAATAAATAAAATTTACTTCTAGATATTTCTGCTTATTCTCTGTACTAACTAATTTCTTGGAGAAAATGTGAATTTTAATATTGGCTCTCTAAGAATTTTGTCTAAGACAACTGAGTTTTTCTTTATCAAGTCCTATTTAAGGTTGAATTTGTTATATGTTCAACAGAAACAGATTTAACGACAAATCTGATTGATTTATATTGGCAGAGGAAGCAAGTGTTTTTTTATTTTTTTCTGATTTTCATCTAGTCATTTTATATTTTTAGCTATTTGGGTTACTTAATTTGACCTGTATGATTACAAGGACTCATGCGTAGTTTATTGTGGCCTTTTGTTTAGCATTGACTAGCATAAAAACTTTAAATCATTTTATCTCATGCTTCCAACTTCATCACTAGGTGATTGAGGCTAATGCCCAGCCTGGAGATATATGTACCCGTCGGGAATATGCTCGTTGGTTGGTTTCTGCTAGCAGTGTCCTCACCAGGTGCTTACTCAAGAGACTGGAATAATTGAATTCGTAGAAATTTTCCTCATTTATATCACTCACCCTGAACTTTTCAGCCCACTTGATTTTTCTTTCATGAAAGACTCTTATAATGTTTTTTGCCAAAGTTAGTAACTTATAATACCCTGCCTAGGAATACAACTTCAAAATTGTATCCAGCAATGTATATCGAGAATGCTTCTGAGCTTGCCTTTGATGATATCACTCATGAAGACCCAGATTTCTCAAGCATTCAAGGTGAAAGTTTGTTATTTACTGATATAACATTAATTGGATTGATAAAAGGAACTTCAAAAGCAGATTCTCTTGTTTCTTCTTTCGGTTTCATAACCATTGATTAATTGGATTGATAAAAGGAATAAATTCACTTCAAAAGCTGATTCTCTTGTTTCTTCTTTCGGTTTCATAACCATTTTATTTCTTTGTTAAAATTCATGCCTCATATAGGCTTAGCGGAGGCTGGAATAATATTTAGCAAGCTTTCGCTGTCTGATACGAGCAGCTCTTCGATCCAGAACCAAAATCAGCTTCTCTTTTACCCTGAAAGGTAAAACTGTATGAACTGTGTATTTTTCAGTTTGCGGTCTGTGCTTTAAAAGAAGTGCCAAAATAATCCCCTGATTATTTACATGGGATCATCTGTCCCAGAGTTTATAAAAAATGTCAAATTAGTCCCTAGACTATTTTAATAGATGCTAAAATACTCTTCCGTGGAAACTATTTCATTTCATATTAAAAGAGTCTACGGATTAAATTAACATTTTTCTATACTCTAAGAGTAAAATGACCCATGTAAAGAGTCGTGGAACTAGTTTTACATTTCGCTTATTTCAAAAGAACATTTCATTTGTTTGTAGCTGATTATTTCTTTTGCAGCCCTCTTTCGCGTCAAGATCTTGTAAGCTGGAAGATGGCTTTAGAGAAAAAACAACTTCCGGAAGTCGACAAAAATGTGCCGCATTTCTATTTCATTAATCTTCTCATAGTATATTGTAGTTTGGTGCACTGAGACTCTTCTGAACTTATGTGTCATCTTTTATGGCAGCTTTTGTACCAGGCATCCAGTTTCATAGATATTGAGAAAATAGACTCTGGCGCATGGCCTGCTTTGCTAGCAGACTTGTCTTCAGGGGAACAGGGCATTATATCCCTTGCCTTCGGTATTACCTCCACACTATTATATTTATCTCTATAGAACTATAGTGCAGAATTATGTCATTCTTATTTCCATTTTCTTTCAACAATATAAACTCATAGGTTATACCAGATTATTTCAGCCCAATAAACCTGTTACCAAGGCCCAAGCGGCCATTGCCCTTGCTACTGGTGAAGCTTCTGAGATTGTTGGCGAGGAACTCGCACGCATCGAAGCAGAATCATTGGCGGAAAGTGCTGTGAATGCACATAGTGCTCTTGTTGCACAAGTTGAGAAAGATCTCAATGCAAGTTTTGAACAAGAGCTTGCAAACGAAAGGGAGAAGATAAATGCCTTGGAGAGACTGGCTGAGGAAGCAAGACTGAAACTGGAAAAAATGAGAACTGAAAGAGAGGAAGAGAATGAAGCTATTCTTCGGGGTCAAGCAGCTGTGAGATCTGAAATGGAAGTCCTCTCTAGACTGAGGTGTGAAGTAGAAGAGCAGCTGCAACAGCTTATGACTAACAAGGTGGAGATATCTTTTGAGCGTGAAAGGATTAACAAACTTCGAAAAGAAACAGAAAGTGAGAATCAATTAATCGTTCAGTTGCAGCATGACCTTGAAGTTGAGCGGAAGGCTTTGTCCATGGCCAGGTATCTATTCCCCAAGCAACTAAAATTCAGGCGCTGATATGTTCTTCATTTACCTTCTGGAAGTGCTGATTTAGCCGCATTGCACCTGGCAATTGTGTTTATTTCATCATTTTTTGATTGAGTTAAGTGTCAAAATTGTCGCCTAACTGTTTACATATAGTCATTTTAGTCCTAGAGTTTATAAAAGTGCTAAATTAATCTCCAAACTCTTTTAATGAGGGTTAAAATAGTCTTCATTAAGGACTATTTAAACCTATATTACAAAAAAATCTAGGGACTAAATTGACATTTTTATGAACTCAAGGATTGAATTATCCCTCTATAAAAAGTCAGGTGATCATTTTGATACTTTTTTATTTTGATCATTGTGTAAGTGCTAGGGCGTCCCCTGGAAGTGACGCTCTGTATAGCCTGAATGCAGTAAAAAGTGTGCAAAGGCTGCTGCATCGGACCCCGAGTGTAGTGTCAAAGGTTCCCACATTCCGAATGAATGCGGGTAAAGAAGTCAGTCCATGAAACTAATAAAACTAATATTAGGATAAAATCTTGGAATATATGTACTCTCAATGGTAAATTAATGGAATTAGTTGATATTATGATTCATAGAAAAATTAATATCTTATGTATTCAAGAAATTAAATGGGTTGGAGAAAAGACTACGGAGATTGATAATTTAGGTTTTAAACTTTGGTATTCTGGTAAGAGTCACACTAGAAATGGTGTAGGTGTAATTATATATAAGAGTTTGAAAGATAATGTTGTAAAAGTTAATAGAGTTGGAGATAGAATTATAGTCCTTAAGATTATCATTGATACTAAGATTTTTAGTATTATAAGTGTTTATGCTCCTCAAGTAGGTTTAGATACAGGTTCTAAAGATAAAATTTGGAATGACTTAGAAGACTTAATACAAATGATAGCTCTTGAAGAAAGAATTTTTATTGGAGGAGATTTAAATAGACATATTGGTAGTGGTAGAAAACTTCAGAAATACTCATGGTGGCTACGGTTTTGGAGTAACTAATGAAGAAGGTAGAATTATTTTAGATTTTACTTTAGCGTATGATTTTGTTATTACTAATACTTTATTTAAGAAAAGAGATGAATATCTTATTACTTATAAGAGTGGATATAATAAAACACAAATTGATTATTTTTTTATGAGAAAAAGAGATTGTCAAGATTGTAAAGATTGTAAGGTCATTGCAAGTGAGAATTTAAGTACCCAACATCGTTTATTAGCTCTAGATTTTAAGATGAATAGTTGTAAAATAAAGATTACTATTACTCATCATCGTAGAATTAGAGTTTAAGGTTTAGGGTTTGTTCATGAAGAAACAAATGTTATATTTTACATGGGGGAACCTAACAGACACAAATAAAATTATTTTTATGAGTAAAATTCAAGTTTTCAAAATTTGGGATGTTCATGAAGAAGCAAATGTTATGTGAGGCAAATTGTTCATGAAGAAGCAAATGTTATGTGAGATAAAATAACAAACACTATTAAATAAGTAGCAAAAGTTGTTCGTGGGGAATAAAAAAAAAATTTAATAAATAAAAATAGTTGGTGTTGGATTAATAATGTGCAAGAAAAGATAAAATATAAGAAGTTATGTTATAAAAATTGGTTTAAATGTAACAACTTAGAAAACTGGAAAAAAATATCAAACGGTCCGCAGGGAGTCTAAAAGAAAAATCTGTGACGCTAAAAATTCTGCTTTTAATGATCTTTATAATTTATTAGATACTAAGGAAGGTGAAAAATATATGCATAAACTAGCCAAACAAAGAGAAAAGAAAAGTAAAGATTTAACGCAAGTAAAGTGTTCTAATGATGAAAATCAAAAAGTACTTTTCTTAGAAAAAGATATTCAACATTGATGGGTGAGTTATTTTGATAAAACTTTTCATGAAGTTGCTGAAAATACGATCGAACTTAATATCGTGAATAATAATAAAACGTTTCATTTTTACGTCGCATTAGTAAAAAAAAGTTGAGGAGGCTTTAAAGAAAACCAATGGTGAAAAGTCTGTAGGACTTGATGATATCCCAATTGAAGTGTGGAAATATTTAGGAGATTTGAAAGTTTCTTGGTTTACTAAACTCTTTAATATTATTTTAAAAAATAAAAAAGATGCCTAAGGAGTGGCGGAAGAGTATTTTGATCCTCATTTTTAAGAATAAAGGGGATGCACAAGAGTGTGCAAATTATAGAGGAATTAAGTTGATGTGTCATACTTTAAAGTTATAGGAGAGAGTAATTGAACATAAGTTAAGACGCGTTACAAAGATTTCTCATAATCAATTTGGATTTATGCCGGACAGGTCTACTATGGAAGTTATACATTTATTGAGAGGTTTGATGGAGAAGTTCAGAGATAATAAAAAGAATCTACATGTGATTTTTATTGATTTAGAAAAAGCCTACGATAAGATTCCAAGAGATATCTTTTGGAGAGTTCTTGAGCAGAAAGTTGTTAATATGATTTATAATCAAGTCATTAAAGATATGTACGCTAGAGCTGTTACTTGTGTTTAAACTAAAGGAGGATTGACCAAATATTCTCATATTCTTGTTGGATTACATCAGTGATCGGTTTTAAGCCCATATCTTTTTACTTTAGCTATGAATGGTCTTATTGGACATCTACAGGAGGATGTACCTTGGTGTATGTTTTTTGCTGATGATATCCTTCTCGTGGATAAAACGAGAGAAAAAAAGCCCAGGAAAAACTTGAATTATGGAGGTTTACATTGGAGTCTAAAAGCTTTCATTTAAGTAGAACTAAAATTGAATACATGGAATTTAATTTCAGTAGTAGTAGCTCTAGTGACAAAAGTGTGACTTTGGGTGATCAAATTATTAAAAGGTGTGAAC